TCATGCAGGGCGCTGGAATAATGACCTGGCCGTCTCATGCCAATTCGGACGGATTGTCCTCTTGTATGAAGGAGTTTATCCGACAGCAGCAGTCTGGCCTGGGCTCGACTGCAGATTACTTGTAGAGTCTAGAGTCGTCTGCCCTGGTCGACTCAAGATCGCATTCGGCAACATTTGGTATACAAGGGTTGCATCCCAATGGCAGATGTGCTGCAGCTTATGACGTAGAATTGAGCACGGATGGATGTGTCACGTTTTGAGATGTGTATTAGCTATAGTCATTGAGAAAATGTTCCAATTATTGTATTCATTCATAACTGTCCTCTTCCTGCCCTGATTCCCTAAAAGGGTTCATGTCCTTTTTATCCTAGGTTCGAAGGTTTCCAGCCACGTTACCAAGTTCATTGCTATTGCGTTTGATGAAGCTCTCCGAGACTCCAATTTTTGCTATTTCTCGAACGGAATTATGGTCATAGTCAGCGCCATTGGAATGGTACGTGACGAGAGCTTATAAATATAAGCAATACGTTCTCGTTCTTGTTATTTTTGACAGCTGTGGTTCATACAAAGAAACATCATTATGTCTTGACCACTGTTTGCTTTGATGTCAACATCGCAATGTGGCCCCGTCTCAATTAAAGCACCATGCTCTCTTAACATAATTCATCGGCTCTTATAACTTCAGAAGATCTATCAGCTCGTCAATGGCAGCTGTGGTTGTTGAGTTATTTGATGTTTAAGTTGAGTGAATGATGCGGTGTAAATCCGGCACATCACCGGATCCGGCGCATCACCGTAAAACCCCTTATAGCCTTCGGCTGAACAAGACCTTAATTCTTCAAGTTAAACAAGGAGATGAGGGATAACAATACATCGCCATCTTTTATCTCCATAAGAGTGCCACCGTATTTCTGACAGCTATCTAAGTCCTAAGGCGGGACCGTGTGACGCGTTTCGAGATGTGTATTAGCCATAGTCACTTAGAGATATTGTGCTACCCGTTACAATTCTTGTGCGTTCCTTCATTCCTCCTCCCCTCTTCCCACTGATGAAAAACT